TGTGCGAGTTCACTTCCTGGAATGTGCCCCTGAGAGAGCCCCATGCCTGTGCAATGTGAGCTTGACGAGGCTTTTTTCACAGAGTGCAAATAACCAGAATCAGCCTAACCCACCAGCGGGGAGAAGAGAGCACTCAGCAGATAAAGCGAGCTGGTGAGCAAGTGAATGAAGCCCGGCCTCCCATAGGCAAACCGCTAAGGCTAGGAGCCCATTGTGCTGTCTCCCGCTATCTGCTTCACTGTAATGTATATGATTTACATGCACACAAACACCTAGAAAAAAGCCTGGAAGCTTGCACCAAGCTTCTGTCAGGCGTCACTTCTGGGCATGGATCCGGGGTCAGGGTCAGAAGGAAGCACACTTCTGTTCATGCTGAATTTGGAGTGCACAGAATCTGCATCTATTACTTGTGTAACTTCCATAATATTCTTTATAAAAAAAAAAAAAAACTCTTGGTGGTATTTTTGAATCCCCCAAGAACATATTCATGTATTACTTGTATCATTTTATAAAATATACAGGGAAGAACTTTTTTTAATCTTAAAGATATTTCTGAACTCCAAAAATAAATTGAAAAAAAAAAAAATACCAAATGATTCCAAGGAAAGAGGGGATGTTTACCTAGGAAGGAAAAGAGGAGGAGAAGGCCAAGTATTGTTCCTATACAAAGTGCGGGGCAGGGAAAGTGCACTTCCAGAGATTCGCGAGGATTCGCAGTGTACTGTCCTCATACGATTCTCGGATGATTAGTCAAAAAAAAAAAAAACAAAACAGGGGCCGGCGCCATGGCTCACTTGGTTAATCCTCTGCCTGCGGCACTGGCAACCCATATGGGCAGCGGGTTCTAGTCCCGGTTGCTCCTCTTCCAGTCCAGCTCTTTGCTGTGGCCCGGGAGTGCAGTGAAGGATGGCCCAAGTGCTTGGGCTCCTGCACCCGCATGGGAGACCAGGAGGAAGCACCTGGCTCCTGGCTTCAGATCAGCACAATTCCAGATGTTGAGGCCATTTGGGGAGTGAATCAACGGAAGGAAGACCTTTCTCTCTGTCTCTCTCTCACTGTCTATAACTCTACCTGTCAAATAAATTAAAAAAAAAAAAAAACAGACACACAAACACACAGCCTAAGTAATTATGAAGCTTAATACAGATATTAAGAAAAATGTTATAAATCTGACGGGGATGATGGTGGTGATGACGATGATGATGGTGATGGCTCCAACACCAGACAAGCGCACAGAGGGAAAATGGTACAGTTAGCAAAGTAGAATGCTGAGGGGTCAGCGTTGTGGCCTAGCAGGTTAACCCTCCATCTGCAGTGCTGGCATCCCATATGGGCACTGGTTCAAGTCCCAGCTGTTCCACTTCTGATCTAGTTCCCTGCTAATGTGCTTAGGAAAGCAGCAGAAGATGGTTCAAGTGCTTGGCCCCTGCATGCATGTGGGAGACCTGGAAAAACCTTGGGGCTCCTGACTTTGGTCTGGCCCAGCCCCAGTTGTTGCGGCCATTTGGGGAGTGAACCAGCAGATGGAAGATATTCCTTCTCTCTCTCTCTTTCTCTCTCTCTTTCTCTCTTTGTCTCTTTCTCTCTCCCTCCCTCCCTCCCCTCTAACTCTGTCTTTCAAATAAATAAAAAATAAATCTTAACAGTTTTTTAAAAAAGGATAAAGTGGGCTGGAGCCACGGCTCACTAGGCTAATCCTCTGCCTTGCAGTGCCGGCACACCGGGTTCTAGTCCCGGTCGGGGCGCCGGATTCTGTCCTGGTTGCCCCTCTTCCAGGCCAGCTCTCTGCTGTGGCCAGGGAGTGCAGTGGAGGATGGCCCAAGTGCTTGGGCCCTGCACCCCATGAGAGACCAGCAGAAGCACCTGGCTCCTGCCATTGGATCAGCGCGGTGCGCCGGCCGCGGCGGCCATTGGAGGTTGAACCAACGGCAAAGGAAGACCTTTCTCTCTGTCTCTCTCTCTCACTGTCCACTCTGCCTGTCAAAAAAAAAAAAAAAAAAAAAAGTATAATGTGAATGCCTCTTCCTACATGGGCAGGGTGGGAGAAGTCACATTTATGACTTGATTCTTTAAAAAATTTTTTTATTTATTTGAAAGGCATATCTACACACAGATAGAGAGATCTTCCTTCCACCAGTTCACTCCCCATTTGACTGCAATGACCAGGGCTGTGCCAGGCCAAAACCAGGAGCCAGGAACTTCTTCCAGGCCTCCCACATGGGTGCAGGAGCCCAAGCCCTTGGGCCATCCTCCACTGCTTCCCCAGGCCACAGCAAGAGCTGGGTCAGAAGTCAAGCAGCTGAGACTCAACCAGCACTCATATGAGATGCCGAAGTCACAAGCGGCAGCTCAACCAACTGCACTACAATGCAGCAACCTGACTTGATATGTTACACAACTTCTCTTACAGTGAACTATTAGAGATGAATGGTAGCCAGAGAGAATTCAATGTTCCTCTTCCACATGACTTAAGAAACCAAAAGAACCTCTGAAAACTGCCATTCCATTGCAAATCAGGACAAGAAATAGAAATAGTAACACTTCTTTACAAACAAACCAGCAGAACAAAACAAACACCAAATGTACCTGATGGCAGAGCTCAGTGGCCACACAGTCAGTGGTACAGTAAATAGAAGTAAATTAAAGATGGTGCCTCTCAGATTGGGTTAAAAAGGAAAATCAAGCTATTTTGTGTAGAATAGACACAAACATTTACTGACATAAACACAGATAGGCAATGATATACTTGGCAAACACATGAAGCACGGCAAACCGAAATACTAACATGAGATAAGCAGAATTCAAGGCAAGGTTACAAAGATATTGTGTGTGTGTGTGTGTGTGTGTGTGTGTGTGAGAGAGAGAGAGAGAGAGAGAAAACGTCACGAAAATAAACTGTCATGAATACACCCAACACCATTGCACTAATATATATATAACTGCAAGAAATGCAGAGAAATTACACACACACACACACACACACACACACAGAGTTATGCTGGGTAGGAGATTTGCAACCCTTTTCTCGGAATACTTCAGAACGACATAGTAGTTTCAGAGAAACTTCATGAGGATGGGGACGGACAGCTCCTCTCCGGGTTTACACGATGTCTGCATAAACTAGATGGAAGATGAATGAGCCTGCAGCACAGCAGGGCGACTGTGGTTTGCAACAATTTCTTATATATTTTATACAGAACAAGATGAGAGGACTTTGACGTTTCCCAATATGAAGAAATCATATATGTTTCAGGAGACGGAGATGCTAATTACCCTGATAGGATCATTACACATCATATATATAAGTCAGATCATCACATCCTACCCCATCAGTGTGTACAATTACAATTTTTAATTCAAAAACACATATCTGGGGAAAATAAACAATTTTTAAAATGAAGACAAAACATAAAATAACAAAATGCTTCAAGCACACAGAACAATGCAATGAGCACCCACGTGTCGTCAAACAATGTTGTTTAATCAAACTTTTCTGATGATTGTGTAGAAACAAAACCACAAACACACACGAGGCACCCCATCCCCTCCTGATTCCATCTCTCTCTGTGTCTCCCAGGGGTCAACGTCTCAGGAATCTGTGGCTTACTGCACCCATGAATGTTTTCATGGATTTATAAAAAATATACCAGTAAACCAGGTAGATTATTACTTTGCACATTTTTAAACATGACCCAAATGACCTCAGAGGATATCAGTACTCTGCTACTATTTTTTTCATTCAAAATTGTTTTGGAGATTGATCCATACCACTAAACGTGGAATACTGAACACAGGAAAGAAAGTAGGGAACAAGGGATAAGCTTGATGCCAGAATGGGATGAAAGGTGTCCTGGAAATGCTTTCTGAATTAATTTTAAACGGTAACTTTCTAAAGGTACCCTTACGTTCCTACTTTCCAAATTCATTTGGAAAACTTCCCTGTAACCAGCAGGTCCTAATGACAGCGCTGGGACAAAGGCACTGCCCATCCTGTGCTGGCTGCAAGTCAGCACGCTTTTTTCAGAAGTCTGATGGTGTACAACAACAGAGACAGAAAGAGGGGCACGCGTTTGGTCTAGCGGCTGAGCACCAGTCAAGACACCTGTGTCCCACAGGGGAGCCTGGCTTTGGTTTCTGTCTCCACTCCTGACTCCAGCTTCCTGCCAGTGCAGCCCCTGGGAGACACTGTGGTGACTCAAGGAGTCAGGTCCCTGCCACCCACAGGGGAGATTTGGAGGAGTCTGTGGCCCCGGACTTCAGCCCCAGTCCAACACCAGCTAGTGTAGATATTTGAGGAGGAACTGGCACATGAGAGCTTTCTCGGGTTTGCTGCTGTCTCTCTGCCCCCAAAATTTTATATATATATATATATATATATATATATAAATACACACACACATATATATATAAAATATGTATATATTATATGTATATGTGGGACAACACATGGGTGCTCATTGCATTGTTCTGTGTGCTTGAAACATTTTGTTATATGTTTTGTCTTCATTTTAAAATATATATATTTTAACTTTTTAAAGAAATATATACTATTTTTCTTTTTCTAGATTTATTTATTCATTTGAAAGGCAGAGGTGAGAGAGAGAGAATCTTCCATTCACTGGTTCACCCCCCAGATGGCTGGACCAAGCTGAAGCCAGGAGCCAGAATTCCATCAGGATGTCTCCCACATGGGTTTTAGGGGCCCAAGCACTTGGGTCATCTTCTGCTGCTTTCCCAGGTGCATTAGCAGGGAGCTGGACAGGAAGTAGAGCAGCCAGGATGTGAACCAGCGCCCATATAGAATTTGGGCATTGTAGACAGTGATTTAGCTGCTGCGCCACAACACTGCTCATAGAAATCTATATCGCTTCATCCCATAGTTCCTCTCTAAGAATTTACCCTAAACCAATCATTCAGTCAAGTATCTATGAACAACGATATAAAGTTATACATTCAAAAAAATTTTTAAGGAAAGAAAATCCTGTGAAGGTAGCACTTACAATTGGTGTCCCGAAAGGAATGTAACCTGTGAGCAGAGAGAGAAAAGAGTCAAGTCTGAGAACGCACTCACCCCTCAACCAAGACGCCCAGGGGCCTTCTGGGCTTGGCCCTGGCTCTCCAGCCCCAGCCTCCCCTGTGCTCCCAGCCTCCTTGTCTCTGCTCCCTATAGCCAGCCTGAACTCACCACTCCCAGAACCTAGAGACCCGTTCCTCCAGGCAAAGCTGCCCACCAGTGCCCCTTGGTAATTTCTTCCATGGGTCACCATGCCCCTACACACACTCATGACACAAGACTGGACATCTTCCAAGGCAATGTCCTCCTGTCCCTCTCAGCTTGTCTTTCTAGCACAGACCCTTATCCCCCAGTATCGTGACCATTTCTGGGAAGAGAATTCCCTCCCCACCTAAGGGTGCACCTGTATGTGCAACAGCTTTTTCAGTCTACAGTGCCCAGGTGACACCCTCAGTAGAGCAGTACTGAGCTGGGGGGAGCCCAGCAGCCCCAGGCAGGGCTCCCTCTGCCACCCCCACTGCTGTCAGCAGGCAGCCCCTCAGCTGGTGCCTGTTAGCAGGAGCGTGCTTACCTGAGTTGTATCTAAAGCAAGGTTCATTTTTGAGTGTGGGGAATTGTGCATGCACACCAGCTTCCCTCTCTCTGGGCAGATGGGCACAGTTGGATCAGGGCCTCCAAGGAATATGCCACTTAAAAATACCTGGTGTTGGGGCCGGTGCTGTGGCACAGCGGGTTAACGCCCTGGCCTGAAGCGTCGGCATACCATATGGGCGCCGGTTCTACTGCCGGCTGCTCCTCTTCCAATCCAGCTCTCTGCTACGGTCTGGGAAAGCAGTAGAGGATGGCCCAAGTCCTTGGGCCCCTGCACCACATGGGAGACCTGGAAGAAGCTCCTGGTTCCTGGCTTCGGATTGGCGCAGCTCCGGCCATTGCAGCCAATTGGGGAGTGAACCATCGGATGGAAGATCTCTCTCTCTCTCTCTCTCTCTCTCTCTCTCTCTCTCTCTTCCTCTCCTCTCTTTGTGTAACTCTGACTTTCAAATAAATAAATAAATCTTTAAAAAAAATACCTGATGGGTAGGCACTGTGTGCAGTGGGTAAGCCACTGCTTGGGATACCTGCATCCCAAGTCTTCAAGTCCCAGCTACTCCACTTCCAATCCAGCTGTCTGCTAATGTACAGCCTGGAAAGCAGCTGAGGATGGCCCTAGTACTTGAGTTCCTGCCACCCATGTGGGAGACCCAGAAGGAGTTCCTGGCTCCTGGTTTCAGCCTGGCCCAGTCTGACCTATTGTGACCATTTGTGGAATAAACCATTAGATGGAAGACTGATTCTCTCCCTCTCTCTCTCTTTCTCTCTCTCTGCCTTTCAAATATATATATGGCTTTCAAATAAATAAATCTTGGGGGGGTGGGGGCCAGAAAGGCAAGGGCAGCCAGGCATGGGTGAGAGGGACTGGGGAGCACTGTGACTGCAGCTATGAGATGCTCAGAGGCTTGGCCAGGCCACAGGGTGCTAATGGCCCCAGTTTGTACAACAACATCGCATGTGCACCCATCTCCTGGTTTGCATTCTGTCTGCATCAGGCTCTGTGGGGGGTGGGGGCCCTGACTGTCCCACGCACCTGAGAAGCCCTTCTACAGCCACCACGGCCCTCCCAAGGCAGCAGCCAGCAGCTCTGGGTGCCACCCTGTAACCAGGGTGCTCACCCCACTGCACTGAGAGCTGGCAAGGACAAGGCGTCAGTGCACCCAGAGTGTGACCCTCTTTAGGTAATTAGGTTAGGCAGGTGACTATCAGAACTATCAATGGGATAAACGGGCCAGCGTGCATTCTGAGCCTAAGTCCGGAAACAGCTTTCCCCCTAGTGACCACTGGGCATGGCCTGGGGCAGAGCTCTCCCCTTGGCAGAACTCCTGCCTCTGCCTCCTGTGTGTGCAGATGGACAAACAGCACACACCCTCCTGGAAGAAGGGCATGCAGCACCCTTAGGGAGCAGGGGGCTCATCTGGAGATGGACAAGAAGAGGGAGCAGGACTCCGAAGGGAAGAATGGGTGGTGGGCAGGTAGGAGAGGAATGATGTGAAGAAGCCAGGGCTGGGAACCTGCAGGGTGGTGATGAGCTTCCCCCATGGAGGCCATAGCTCCACCCCAACTGCCCAGGCAGAAAAGGCAGGAAACAGGACCAGCTTTGTAGCATAGTTAAGCCGCCACCTGCGATGCCAGCATCCCACATGAGCACTGGTTTGAGTTCTCGCTGCTCCACTTCCGATCCAGCTCCCTGTAAATGCGCCTGAGAAAGCAGTGGAAGATGGCCCAGGTCCTTGGGCCCCTGCATCCACATGGGAGACCTGGAGGAAGCTCTTGGTTCCTGACTTTGAATTGGCTCAGCTCCAGCTGTTGTGGCCATCTGGGGAGTGAACCAGCAATGGAAAACCTCTCTCTCTGTCTCTACCTCTCTCTTTAACTCTTTCAAATAAATAAAATAAATCTTAATAAATAAAAATAAAAAAAGAAGAAAGAAAAGGCAGGAAAGCTCCGTAGGGGCAGTTCAGCCAAAGTGAACATGCAGGTGTCTATGGAACAGGTGCTGCCCCTCCTCCAGCTCCACATCTGGATGTCCCTGGAGCCATGAGAGGACTAAGCACCTCAGATGGCAGAACCAGAAGGGTCCCAGGTGCTTACCTGACATTCTAAAGGGCATGAAGATCTTCTCATTAGTATCCGGGTGTAGAATGGCCTGGCAGGAGCCGGGGACAGTGCACAGGGTCCAGGGGAGAGGGAAGGAGGGGGACAAGCAGAGGCATTAGGGAGGAGGGGGAGAAAAGGCAGCCTCCCAGGGGAACGGGGCTGGGCACTGCTGTCTGGCCAGAGAGACCACTCCACTGTCAGGGCAGGAGAAGCCCAGAACACGGCCATAACAGCAGGCCATCCCTTGACCAATCCTTACAACTGAACACAGGGGAGACCAGAAGCCCCCAGAGCCAGGGTGGGGTCCGCTGTGCAGGCCCTCTCTCCCCTGGCCTGGCACACCTAAGGCTTTTGGGAATGGAGCCCGATCCTTCAGGAGCTCTAAAAACCAAGGCAAAGGCAGCCTGGATGGAGGGCCAGGCTTTACAAATTCACACCTGCAGGGGTTTGGGCAGGAGGGAGGGGGAGGCTGGGCACACAACAACCATGGGAAGGAAGGCTTCCGGACCCCAGGGACAGGGCAGGGTGAGGTCCAGGAGAGCTCACGGCAGGGAAGAGAACGAATCAAAGCTGGATTTTACCTGCTTGATTTTCTGTGCACTCCAGAGCTGGAAGAAGGAGAAAGGAAAAGAAACAAATAGTTAAAAATATATATGAGGTTCAGGTCTCACACGCTCGTTTTCTAACCAAGGGATCCAGTTGCACAACGCTAAGGGGCTCAGGCTGTTATCACCCAGACTGGGCAGCCATCCCGGAGGTGGCATCACAGATCCCAGACTGGCACAGGTAGGGGTCTCACAATGATCATTTAAACCAGGATCTTCAACTCTGGCTGCATTTTAGGATTCATTTTGCTAAAGCTCTAGTTGATTCTAAGTCACAGTCAGATAAGAACACCTGATTAGAATGAAGATACTTCTATTGTCTCCTAGAATCACCAGTGGCAGCCCAACAACAACAAAAATTTTTTTAAGAGATAGACTGCCTGGATTCCACTTCTACCTCTGAGCCTTGATGTCCTCCTCTGTGAAATGGGGATAATAGCCACCTCTCTGACATAGAATTGTTGAAGTATATGAGCAGTTCTTAGAGAAGCATCAGCACACAGCAGGTATTTTATAAGTGCCTATCACTGTTGACGTCATCATCCCTGTTGTTGTTAGAAGGTTGAAGGGAGTGAAGAGTATAAGGTTCTAAGGTTCTCCTTCCAGCATAGCACAGGGAAAGGTTAGAGAAACTGAACAAGTTCCCAGTTGCTCTGAATATCAGTTCTGTGTTTCACAGACACTAAGACATCACTGATTCTAAAACATGCTATTACATGCCCGATAAGGAAGAAAAGCAACAGGGGCAGGCATTGAGCCTAGCTTGCCTCCCACATCAGAGTCCTGGGTTTGATTTCCAGCTCCAACTCCAGCTTCCTGCTAATACAGATCCTGGGAGGCTGCAGTGATGGTTCAAGTTGCACCCATGTGGGAGACCTGGACTGAGTTCCTGGCTTCTGGCTCCCACCCTAGCTGGTGTAGGCATTTGGAGAGTGAACCAGTGGATGGGAGTTTGCCTTTCTTTCCCTCTCTTTCTCTCTACAAAGAAAGAAAGAAAGAAACTAATGCCAAGACCCCTATCAACATTTTAGAGATAACAAAATGTGATAAAATCAGCCTTTTTAAACCAAGGAAATGTGTGAAATGGAAGTTTATATTGTGGGCAAACTTTAGGCCAGTGCCTTTTTTTTTTTTTCATGGAGAAAGAGGGCATGTGGCTAGAAGGGAGAGAGTCAGTAGCTGAGGTTTCAAGTTTTGTAACAGAATGTATGTTTCATTTGTATGACAATCAATGTTGGTCATCTGGAATATAAATTAAGCTGCAGGAGTTAGGAAGGCTACTGGGCAATAAAAATAGAAGTTATAAAATTGATACATTAAAGTTTATGCATTTTACTCACAGCTGAGTCCAAACCTTGACTCACAGCCTAATTAACTTCTATTTTAGATACATTTCAAACACACTTGATTGTCTGCTATTCTAGATACAGGAAGATTAGAAGCAGATTTTTTTTAAATAATAACTGAGCAACAGAGAAGACTGTCAAAAGAAAAACTGAATGCAGAATAACCTTGAGCACAAAGTTAAATGAGAAAATAAGAGGTTCTTTTCTTTTAAGTGGTGAAAGGCTCATTCTTCTCTCTGCTCGGAAAGCGTCTTCCTGAATTGTGCCCACAAGTTTAGACTCCACTCCAGTTGCAGCCCCAGGCCCTCTGCATTGACCCCTGATGCCTTAAGTCACGATCCTCCATCTCCGGGTCCTCTCTCCTCTATGCCATGGTCCAGCCTCCCAGAGCAGAGCTTGCTTTTTGACACCATTTCCTGGCACCTGCCAGAGCACCTGGCTCACAGTGGGGGCTCAATAAATACTTGGAGAAGGAACATCATTCTTTAAAACAGAGGTCTCCCCAAGGCTCACCTAACTTCTGGTTAAGTGTGGTGAACCAAAAACATGGATTTAGCTCCCTTTCCTCCCAAACCCTTAATAAAAGAGCAAAAGAGCAAACCAGCAGGGGCCAGCACTGTGGCACAGCAGATTAAGCCATCACCTTGACATCAGTGTCTCAGTGTCTCATATAAGCAGTGGTTCAAGTCCTGGCTGCTCCACTTCTGATCCAGCTCCTTGCTAATGTGCCTGGGAAAATAGTGCAGGATGGCCCAAGTACTTGGACCCCTGCCACCCATGTAGGAGGCCTGGATGGTGTCCCAGGCTCCAGGCTTCATCCTGGACCAGTCCCAGCTGTTGCAGCCATTTAGGAAGTGAACCAGCAGATGGAAAATCTCTGTCTCTCTCTTTCTGTAAGTCTGTCTTTCAAATAAATAATAAATCTTAAAAAAAAAAAAAAAAACCGTGTGGTCGCTGTTGTGAATTCCTGTGTATCTTCACCTGTGCATCTGTGTTTTGTCTGTGAAGACTGAAGCGATGATGGAACACATGCTGGGGGCTTAGAGCCTCAATCCACCTGCCTTCTGCCACCTTGCCAGCCACCTGCTTCTCAGCACTGCCCAACAACAGCTCCACTGTACCCCGAGGGCTGGGTACAGGAAAAGTCGGGATGGGAGGAGCAGGTGCCACACACCAAGGCAAGGGGCAGGGCTCCAGGTGCCTGTGCGCGTCTCCCCTTGCCCCATGAGTGATCCCCCTGGCTGAGGCAGGGAGATGTTAAATAACAAACAACAAACATTATGACAAGTCCAGAGAGAGAGAGATTTTCTATCTGCTGGTCACTCCCCAGATGGCCACAAAGGCTCTGGCTGGACCAGGCCAAAGCCAGGAGTGAGGAGCTTCATTCTAGTCTACCACATGGGTAGCAGGGACCCAAGTACCTGGGCCATCTTTTGCTGTTTTTCCCAGGCCATTATCAGGGAGCTTGATTGGAAGTAGAGCAGCTGGGACATGAACCGGAGCCATATGGGATGCAGGCATTGCAGGTGGGAGCTTTACCCTCTGTGCCACAGCGCCAGCCTCTTGCATTTTCATCTTGCATTGAGCCACACGAATGATGACACTGGCTCTGCCTATAACTCCTGATATCTGGAGGCTCTGAGTGAGGAAGACCATTGCTCAGTGAGCGCGCGCGCGCACACACACACAGAGAGAGAGAGAGAGAGAGAGAGAGAAGGAATTCTGGAGGTAAAAGGAAAAAGGAATTGGGATGAAATGAGATAATTCAGGAACCAGGAGACTTTTAAAATACTGCAGTATCTTCAGAGGAGGAGGACGTGAAAGAACAGAATGGAGTGAAAAGTAGGGGGTGGGGTCTGTGTGCACAAATCCTGGCTCTGCCACTTACTGGACATATGACCCTGGACCAAGCACTTGGTGGCTGGGCCTCAGTTTCTTCATCAATAAAATGGGTTACTTCCCCTGGGCAGGGCAGAGAGGGTGTCTGGCACCCCCTGGCAGCTTGCTTAGTCAGGTGGCTCAGCTGGCCAGGCGTTGCGGGTGGAAACGACATTCGTCACTCCCAATGGAGGACCCAGTGGAGGACAGCACGGCCTTAGAAGGTGGTAAAGCGACGAGGTGAAAGGAGTCTCATCCCCATGCTTGGCACACAACCAAGCCCAGGTTGCACTGGGTTCAGACATGAGTAAGAAATAGACCCTGCAGAGTTAAGTAAGTCCCTGACGTCTGAGAGTTGCCTGGTACAGCACTTGGCTTAACCTGACCGAGACAGAGGGTTAGATGAGGTATGCGTACATAAAATAGTTGACTCACAGAACGTGCTCAATATGGTTGCCTAAAACAAGCAACTCAAATGAGCAGCATTTTTTTAGGGATTTAATCATCTTGCAAAGTAGCTTCTCTGTTGTCTTGTTCCTCCGGCACTCTTGAGAGGTGGGGAGATCCTTCCCAGACGTCTTACTTCGGAGAGTCCAGCCCACTCAGCCAGGGTCCCAGGGGTCCGGTGGCAGGAGAGAGGTGGGCCCCCAGGCTTCAGGCTGGGTCCTCCCTGCAATCCAGCGCCTTGGGGGCTGACCCATGCCAGAGGTTCACTGGGTGACCAGCAGGCCGGAAGCATGAGAGGTGGCAGGGCGGCCGCCATCATCCTGAGGTCCTCTTGCAGCCTAGCAGCAGGTACTCCCACCAGTCCCTTGTCCCTCCCCTCCTCCAAAACCCAGCCGAACTGCACTGCACTGTCGGCCCGGGCTGCAGGTGCCCCTCGGACTCCAGGGCTGCTTCCCCCAGCCCAGCAGGCTGATGCCCTGGTAAAAGGCAATCGTAAAGCCTCCCATGACAACTCCATGCTTTCTCTCCCGCCGACTCCCGGATTTTCCCACTCAGAAACCTGTTTTCATTGGACCAAGAAGGAAACCAAAGCTTACAGCCATGCCCAAGGTCTCCAAGTTGGAGCTGACTCAGGTCCATTCATCGGTTCACCCCAATGTAGGGAACACGTGTTATGTCTCAGGCACTCTCCTAAGGCCTTTGTTCTCATTACCTTATTTAATCCCTTCAACAACCCTAGGATGAAGGACTAATGTATCCCCCATTTTACAGATCTGGAAACTGAGGCACAGGGCAGTTGAGGGACTTGCCCAAAGCCCCAGACCAAGGAAGCATGGCTCGAGTCTGCATTCTTCAAAAAAGAAAGAAAGTAATTCATTTTCATTCATTTGAAAGGCAGAGCTACAGAGAGAAAAGGAGAGATAGAGACACTAATTCCCTAGCCAGATGGTTGTAACAGCCAGCACAGGGCCAGGCCAAAGCCAGGAGTCAGGAGCTTCACCTGGGTCTCCCACATAGGTGCAGTGGTCCAAGCACCTGGGCCATCCTCCGCTGCTTTCCCAGGCTACAGCAGGGAGCTGGATCGGAAGTGGAACAGCCAGGACTCAAATCAGGCGCCTGTGCGGGTCTGGGATGCCAGTGTTGCAGGCAGCAACTTTACCTGCTGCGCCACAATGCTGGCCCCAGAGTCGGCACTGTTAAGCACAGCGCACCCCACGTCAAAGGCCAGCACACGTTGCCTGTGGTCCGCCCACAGCCATGGCACTCATTTTAGTGCTCTTCCCTGAGCAGGGCACAAAGAGCAGCCTCTTTCTCCCAAGTGGAGACCTTGAG